TGTGCTAGCTGAGTTCAGAGTGTTCGGAGCTTCGTGTTTGCTCGAAACGTAACCTGCATTGATTGATTATGCAAGGATATCACTGAAGTGGTCATCGTGAGCGATGCTATATGGAACACTTTAACTGCCCCCGTTTTTAAAAGAGGTGGGTGAATTAAAACTTTCAGCATCGGTCACGAGCTTAACATTGAGTTAATTGAGTAGTTAACGAGTAGAGCAAACGATTATTAGACGCGCTCGTTATAGTGGCTTGCATATTTTCATTAAGTGCAAAGCAATAATGAATGTTGGGACATTATAACGCTCTTTCGATGAGACTGCGAGCACTCCCATATCGGAAGGAACAACTGCTGTGGACATTCAGATCACTGGGGCTCTACAGAAGGCGATCGCGCCGAAACGTTGGTAACGGAAGAATTTTCATAACAGCATAAGTAGGCTTGTAAACGAGGCAATGGTTATGCACGCGACGTTAATTAAAAGCCTACCCTGAAACAAAAAAAAAACAAAACTGGTTTAGATAGGTATCCAACCATCTTTTGCCTGCCCAACAATCACACGCTGATTTCGTCGATTAAAAAGTTATCCCTAGTTTTCATTTTTATTTAAATGAGCCGTCAAAGACATTTTTTGATAATTTAATTTTTATAAATTTTATCAGCTGCTTTTATCAAAAACCACGCTAGAAAATCGAATGAAGGGAAATTTTTTTTTGTTCTGGGCAATAATAACTAGCGCTGTGGCGAACCCGAAGAGTGACATCCTATTCAATTCTCACCAATCTTTTTTTGAACTGGACATTAATTTTTTCTATTTTTAAAGTTTATATCAAGTTAAATCCTTACAATCTTCATTGATAGCGCGGGGTAACCCAGTAGCTAGTTATGAAGTCCTTTAGGAAGCAAGGCGCTGGTTCAAACCCCCCGCGAACAGTCTACATGTAAGAACGCCTTAGCTCGTCTATCTTCAAGGTTGCAAAAAAGCATCAGTTCGACTAGCATTGTATTACATTCATGTAGAAGACGAAATTCTTAAGCTTCAATGGAAACAACAACCGAAATGTTCGATAGCCTTCGTGGATGATGGATGCGAGGAAAACAAATGTAGACCAAGAACTGCTGGGATCCGCACACCATATGTATGCTGAGAAAGCAATGCCGACGGCTGTGCTGTCCCCACCCTGTCCCGGACTTCCCATCCCGGTCTCTCATCCCTTCGGGGTTAAGAAGTTGGTACAAGATTTGTGAGGGAACACTTCACTTTATACAATCAAAGTCGAAACCCAATACAATCAAAGTCCGGCTGTTCCGTGACTCCAAGGAGAATCGACTCCACCACCATTCAGCAACATATAGGAAGAAGATAAGCAGCAGCCGAACCCAAATGTGAAAAATTCGGAGGGCTTTGTAGAAGAAAGGCGGCTAATCAAATGCAAGAACTCTTAGAATCCACATAGTTGATATGAAGTGAGTAGTGTAAAAAAGAGTAAAATTAAAACACTTGGAAGTGAAGGATTGTACAAAAATTGGTATCACTTCGCAAGACCAACTATCTACTAACTTCGGCATTGATCAACAATTCGCTGTTTTTATTCAATGAGCAAACACGAGCTCGGTATTATAGCATTTATTACTACACGATAGCCGACCTTTCGGCGGTTTCGCCTTCTTTAGAGCCTGGACCCCAACTCATGTAATCGCCGTACTTACCGTTAGGGTATATTATGCAATTTTTCGTTGTACATGGATGGTCATGTAGGTGCCTACAAACGAGCTGGTGTCTTAGAATGTCCAGCCGTTCAGAAATGGAGGCCAGTTTTTTCTTGGTTTCTCACGGGTGAATGTTATATACTCTGACTGTTCGCTCAGTAACTCATCTCATCGTCCGTCGCCTCTTGTGTAGACCGTATGACAAAACATCTATATATCTTCAGTAGAGTAATAGCAGAAGATCGATTGCTGGTGCTTCTACCTTAGACTTAAAGACAATGGAATGGTTTGGTGAGATTCGCTGTCCCATTGCCAACCGTGTAATTTGTGCGTAATATTTCCAAGAGCATCAAAAGTATAAATAGTTTGCGCAAGTCTTTAAGGAGATTATCAACTCAATTATCATGAAACCACACATATTTACTGCACCTTAGTGCTGCACAAGAAGCTCGTGGATGGCTTACATTACGTACTCATTCGACACGTTTGTATAAAGAGCTGTAACATCGAAGAACTTTATAACGTACGCACTGTTAGAAAACGTGTTACTCAGACGATCCAGTAATAGTTGGGTGCTCGTGAGATGGGCTAGTATGTGCTTCAGTAACTGGATGAGAAATAGGTTTAAAAACCAAAGCTATTCTATCGGTGGGCCCAACTACACATCTGATAACGGATTTAACAATAAAAGTTGAAGGATCGGTAAATACCAGATCATCAAAATATACTGGCTTATGAGTTCTGATAAGCAAGCGTAAGACGGAACATGTTGATAATTCGATTTTGAGATGCGAAACATCTGATGGTTCTAAACCTGCCGCGTTTGTCACTTTGTCACTCACTCATTCGTTGTTTAATTTTCGATATTGGCTTTTGAATTCCCTTTCAGACGATGGGCCGTAAAGAGAAGAGTCTTCAAGATGTTTTTTCGCTATCTCAACATCTAAATGGAGAGGAATTACTACAAACTCTCCACCCTTATCACTAGTTGGTAGTCTAGTAGTCTTTGTTATTACAAACTCTCGAAACTGTCGCATACTAGATTTCTGCACTGCTGTAAGGTTTGAACTAAACTTTCTCACGCGATAGTGGTTAAGGACTTTGAGAATTTCGGTCGAACACGTGGGAAAATTGCTATCTACTTTGTCATTGGGTTTTGCTGTCTAAAGAACGCTGTGCGGCTGCTTTTCACCAATTAGCTGGCTTACAACGAATGAAACTGTGGGTGTTTAGAAGAAGTTGTTTAATATTCGAATGAAAATTTATATGATAAGCTTTATCTGATGAGGTAACGAAAGTATTTGGCTAAGTAGATTGCATGTCAATTTGACCTTTCTAGGCTTTGAAGAAGACGAGACCGCCGGAAAGGTCAGCAGCTATTGTGTGATAACAATTCCTATAATACAAACCTCGTATTTGCTCGTTGAAGAAAAACAGTGAATTCGGTATCAGTTCCGATTAACAGGAATAAGTTCCGCATAGCTGCTTAGCATATTCGTCTTGTGAATAAATGTCGCCACGACAGGGCGAAATTCGGGGAACGAAAATTAGTAAAATTTCTCTTAAACCGTTTTATGGGCCGAAGATATGGCTTTGTTCCACACTTCTCAACTTGTAGCGCTTCTCAGAAGCCTTCATGCACACGCAGTGAATAGTACTAGTCAATGCCTCACGCAACCGCCGCTCTAACACGCCGACAAAAAGAGACGAAGAGCTCATAAAGGTGGGAATTGCTTCTGTTTCCTAGCAAGTGAGTTTCTTCCGACCATTTTCTTGTGAATGAACGTAATAAACGCGCAAGAACAAAGTCACGTGACACTATGAAACAGAATATAGCAGAATTCCACCAGCAGAAGAAATGAAAAAAACCCAGAACTCGCTTCATTTCTTTTTTTTGTTTTAATTGTATTATATAGCTTGTTGTTGATTATGTTATTCACATGGCCAGAAAGAAATCAGAGTTATCTTTTAACATGTTTTTAAAGTGTTGAGCTTATACGAGGTTGATAAGTATATTTATTTCAGCCAATGACTCGACGTCTTCGTCTTCACCAGAGCCGATGTGATCCGTATTGGTGATCCAGTGTTATTCGTTATCTCGATGTGGCAACTTCGTTGGACTGTGGATTTCAAGTGTTCCCACCTCCGACCCAGAAAGAGCTCCGAATATATTGATCAACCTCGTGTGAGCTCTACAATTTAAGAACATGCTGATTATTTCTCAAGTTAGGTGACAGTCGGTTGAAAATTATCTTCAAGCAGTTCGCAATTATATCTCGTTCTGTAATACTCACCTAAAAATGTGAAAACCGAAGTTATTCCCGATTCTTTTTGTTCAAAAATTACTCTTGAAATCACCTTCTGCTGAACTGCGAGAGTACGTCCTCGTTCTTCTTAGCCTCTTGTAGCTCCAAACTCTCATTCACAAGAAGCAATGATAACTGCTTCCTTAAAAAATTAGATTGCTCGTTATCATATGATATGTGGCTCTCACTGACGAAATCGGTAAGCTTGCAGGCTAGGTAGCGTGTCCTCAGCTGATGGATAGGTGTTAATCGCGGACCAAAAGCGACCTCACGCTTCCCAAAGAAGCATGTGGATCAAAGGTATAGAATCGCCGTTTCCGCTGCACCCGATTGGAAACATACCCTCTGTGTTTACGAGGACGTATTTCCGCATGTGTGTATGTATATGTATATTTATATATACATATACATGCATGTATATATACGTGTATATATATATATGTATATATACGTGTATATATATATATATATGACACTTGACACTTGAACGGCACGTCCTCACTAGTTGTGCGGACTCCAGCATAGTCACCATTTATCGAAGATTTGCCATTGGTCGCTTAGCCATTATGGTTCCCTGGAATCCAGAGGTCAGCCTGGCCAAAGTCTGCCCCAGATCTTCACCACCACGAGCAGTCGCAGCCCTTGTGGATCAGAAGGAGATTTACCACCATGCAACTTTGATACCACGACGGTGGTGGGTCATGGTATTGGTTTACTCTTAGCTAGGTTTCCTGATGGAAACGCCGGATTTCTTCTCAGCTTGGCAGACCCTGCCTGGTGGACGATTCTCCCACCGTACATCGCAGTCCGACACCCAGAAACACCTCCCAGCCAAGATGAGGAGGTAAACCGTTGGGAGTACATCACGTGTATCACCTGTAGTTCCGTTGATCGTTGAGTGATTCGAGGAGGCACGAGTAAATCTTCCATTTCTCTATGTCGCGTGCTAGAGTACCCAATAAGTTCTGCTCGCTCCAGAGACTCGTCAAGAATCATATCTTTCTTCTAAGCTCTTCGTGAAGAACTCTGACCATCGGGTCGGTGGTCTTCCTGCAGTGCGCTTGACATTCCGAAGAATCCAGTCACTAACGGCTCTTGTCCAACGCTTGTGATTAGTACCCATTACGTGTCCGGCCCACCTTATCTTCGACTGTTTGGCGTACGGAACGGCATCTTTGATTTTTGATCGTTGACGCAGATCGGAGCTTCGGATCCCATCCTTTAATTGTGTAGAACGGGATACTCCTATCATCGTCCTTTCGACTGCGCGTTCGATAACGCTGAGTGACCTTTCATCCTGCTTAAGCAGTGACCAGGTTTCAGACGCATACGTTAGGGCAGGAAGTACCGTTGAGTCAAAAATGTGGGCACAGAGTCGGGTGTTCATTGTTCTCTTCACTACATCCTCGATGCTCTTGAAAGCTCCCCAAGCCGCTCGTTTCCTTCTGCTCAGCTCTGGAGCTAAGTCGTTCATCATATTGATTTCCCGACCTAGATAGATACAACTGGAGCATTCGAAGATATTCGTTCCGTTGAGCGCAATGTGTTTATAAGGACTGGCGAAAGGTTCTTCGGGTTTTCTGATCTTATCATGTTTGGACCTAGTGCTGTTCAAGTTTTCAAGACGAAATGGCATGTCGGATTTCGGAAGGGAGAACCGGTGGTACAACGTATGCATTCTCCTTTATTTCATATGACAGAAAGTGGACGTGGCAATCGAAGAAATCTGAGTAGTATTTGTGAATAGTTTTCTCCATTGCCTTTCTGGACGCTGTGACTGTTCCGTCTGGGCGTCGAAGTGCAATCGTCTTGGTCTTGTAATTGGCGAAGCTTCGATGGGCTTTGCGAATGCTTCTGGCGTCTACAAACTTTTCACTCGAGTCATCCTAAATAGGATTGACAGAACACTAGAAGAAGGACAGCCATGTGAGCAGGCAGGGTTTCGAAGAGGATTTAGTACGATGGACCACAACCACACGGTAACACGGATCACTGAAGCATCGCGAAAGTACAGAAGACCACTCTCTCTCACTTTCATCGATTTAAAGAAGGCCTTTGATTCAGTTGAGATAGAAGCAGTCCTGGAAGCCCTTGATGGTCAAATAGTTACTACTCAGTACAGAAACAGTCTTAATGAGCTGTACAAAAATTTTACAACCAGGATATCATCATTCTACAACAATATTAACATCGACGTCAAAAAAGGAGTTAGCCAGGGAGATACCATCTCGACAGAATTATCTATCGCCACCCTCCAGAACGTCAAGCGAACATTGGAATGGGATAACATGGGAGTGAAAATCGTTGGTAGGCACTTACACCATCTTCGCTTTGTTGGTGAAATCGTCCTTATAACACCAAACATTAGCCAAGCGGAACTAATGACTATCGACTTTGATAAAGCCTGTGGAAGGACTGGTTTTCCGCCAAATCTCACAAAAACGATGTTCATGAAGAACAGAATAGTTTCACATGCGCCATTCACGATCAACGGAACCAATACCTCCGAATGCTCCAGTTATATCTATCTAGATCGGCAAATCAATATAATGAACAACTTACCTCCAGAGTTGGCTAGGAGGAAGCGAGTGGGTTGTGAAGCCTTTAAGAGCATCGAAGATGTTGTGAGGAAAACAAAGATCACTCGACTCCGTGCCCACATCTTCGACTCCACGATTGTTTCTGCTTTAACATATGAGTTAAAAATTTTGTCATTACATGTACATGTCAGTGGCATGAATGATCACTCAGCGTTATAGGACGCGCAGTCGAAAGGTCGATGCTATGAGTGTCCCGCCTCACTAGAGGTGGCAAGAGGTCGAAAGCTCTGACCCAAGCCAAAAACCAAAATTCAAAGAACCACTTGTGCACGCAGAATTGTCGAAAATCGGGTAGACCAGACACGTAATGCCTTTGAATGACAACCGGTGGATATGAGCTGTAGCGACACTATATTCTCCAAAGTATCAAAGGCACGGTGAGACGATCACCCTCTCGAGTCCCCTCCATGATCAACAGAGCGGTAGATGATACAGGTGATGTGGCCCTTAGCTATTATTCCATTCGGCTGCCATGTAAAGACGTAGTGACTTTCGGACGCCTTAATGCGTACATTCATCTGAGACATTCATCTTCATTGTGATTCAAAGAGAGATTTACTGCTCTAATCCACAACATGAATCTCTCTGTAAGAGGAATCTGTAAGATGGTGAACAGCCAACCGACACAACGGTCAAACAACGGTTTAACATGCCGATTCTAAATCAGTGACCATCAAAAACTGAAAAAATGACGTTTTTTGTAAAACATAATCAGAATTACGGAAGATGTAATGCGAAGCACCAAATTAAGAAGTTCTCCAATAATCTCTGCAAGATTTAAGGAAAAGCGTCGACCGAAGTTGCTCTTAGCAAAGCACAACAGTTACGGAAACAAAAGTGTTGAAAGTCTAGTGCCACCTTATTCTATTCGTTTAAACGCTTGTAGAAACCGTGGTTTACCTCTCGTTCAACTAAACAATAAATCTTAAGGCCTTCATGAAGAGCAATCGGGAATCTGTTGAAATACTAGTCCTCGTTTCCATTAAATTATACGATTAAAATTGTTTCTCTGTGAAGCAAACGTATCGTTCGATTTGTTGAGACGCTCCCGTTATAATCGCTCAAATCTCTTTTCACTAAAGCATATAGAACATATTCCAATACTCTACAGGCTCGGCTTAACTAGGTTCATTGCGAATTTGGGCTCCCCAGATCAATCTTATTGACGGGTGATTGCTGATGAAACCGATCGGTAGAAAACCTGCTGACAGACATGAGAAACAAAGGACCCACACTGTGATGGTGTCCGCGTTAGCTCCCGGAAAGGGTAATAGCGCGTTCGTTTCCCACCGCAGACACCTGCGTTCCGGAGTTTTGCAAATATCTCAGCAACATTGTGGTTATTCTGAGACTGTGAACCCTTTCAGACCACTTTAGAAACAAATTTATTGTTTTATTTAACTTACTTTGCTGGTAGAATAACCTGCATTAACCATAATCGATGAGTATGCATACTGTCACGATATCTCGTTACCGTTTAGGAGACTGCCTTTTACAATAACACATAGGAAACTAAAGGGTTCAGATCCTAATACCAGTAGTCTTTTTAAAATCTGCGGAGCTCGTCGAGCAACCGGCAGGAAAATGATGAGTGAGAAGAAATTATGTCTATGAGACCGTAAAAGATATCAGAAAAACGGTCTTCAGTATACGCATCTGCTAGGCGATTCAGGAGAAACAGCGTCGCGAACAAGTTCCACCGAAAATCCACGAATCACCACTCTTCGGAAACAACCTGTGAATGATCCATTGAATTGGTGTCGCAGTGGATGCGTGGTGCGTCCCCCTGAAATAACTGCAACTGGAATTAATTAAGAAAGGGTAAATGTTGTTTTTAATACAGAACACATTCATCACCATTCCAATTGAAAAAGATAGTATTCCGCTTCGACCTTTAGAAACATATTAGTGCAAAGCTCAGCTGTTTCTTATACAAATCTTTTAGTACTGACTTCTTCTGGAAAGTCTTCTAAACTAACCTAAGAAAACAAGTCCATTCGTATTCAGGCGTGTGGCTCCTTCAGCTAACATCATCGTTGTCGTTTTACCATCGACGTTTATTGCGGTACGATTTTTTTCTCTGTGATAAGAACCTATAGCGAACGTGGAACAGAGGTAACCCATGGTTTTTATGAGATTTTTCAACTATGCCTCAATAAAAGATTAAGTTGAATTTTTCGAGTCTTGAATGTTTTTGATTTTGATTGAAGATTTGATTTGAATTTTGAAGAAACTAAACTGTAAATCCTCCCAACGGTTTACCGCCTCATCGTGGCTGGGAGGTGTTCCTGCATGTCGGACTGCGATGAACAGCGGGGGATTCATCCCCTGGCAAGGTCTCCCAAGCTGAAAAGAAGTCCGGCGCTTCCATCAAGAAACTTAGCTAAGAGTAAACCAATACCAGGATCCACCACCGTCTTGGTATCAAAGTCGCATGGTGGCAAATCTCATTCTGATCCACAAGGGCTGCGACTGCCCGTGGTCGTGAAGACCTGGGCAGACTTTAACCAAGCTGACTTCGGGACTCCAGGAAACCACAATGGCTTAACCAGCAAATATTTAAAAGATGAAGATTATGCTGGGCCCCGCACAACCAGTGAGAACGGGTCATTCAAATATTAAGTATCAGGTAAGTAACTGTAAATTTCGAACCACCAGTCAGGAGGGTGTAGAAAAATATCTTTCAGATCTCTAAAGGTGAAGTTTTGTAAATTTAATGACAATTGTTTTTCAGTTACCTTCAGTTTGAATTGCTGGGTAGATAAGATAAAATATAGGTATAAAGGTTAAAGCTCTCGGCGTTGATCAATTCCTATGGGATGGGCCATGCATTCGCCTTCATTAAACATTGTTGGAAGTGATTGAATGAATATCATATTTACAGTGACTCGCGGTGGCTTACCGATGTATCGAGCCAGTGCTGCTATCCTCCCAGACAAGTATGGTAGCAATTTGCCGACCAATTTAATCGGTGGGATGGAAGGCTTGGTGAACCACGGGCATGGAGATCGATCCCTCGTGCGTGCCGCAGGGCCCGACCACTGCGTGATACGCGAAAAGTAGGTGTGTTTGAAGTTATGCGTGACAGAAAGCTCGTTTTAATCCGTGAAATGTTCGAATTTACAAAGGTATATTTATTAATTGTTTCGATATTCTCCCTTATGAATTTAATATTACTGCAAAAAATTCTCGTTTTGCAATTTAATATGTTATTAACACGAATATTCAACGAGAGATTTGAGAGAAAGAACAGTGAAGCTTTTACCTCTCGACCGATATTTTGTGCCATGTTCCTTTTGTCACGGATTGGTTTGTAGCTACCGATTTTGGGAAATCTCGTCCCAGACTGACAGCAATATGAACATGCCCGTTCCGCAGAAAGACAATAAGGAAGTCGGACTTTGTCGTTCCACTCCATTCTGATTCCCACCACAACAGTCCGTCCGTGGATTCGCTACGAAATTCGAAAGAGAAGTTTGATGTGTGTGAGGAGAACTCGCTGAACGATTTAATGTAAATGAAAATCTTCCACTTGGAACTGGAAGCTTACGATGAGTTTCCAGCGTTAAGGTAGGCATAATCGGCTGTTCCATCAACGAATATGTTGTCCCCTACGTTGGTGTCGCCTGCAAGTACAAAACTACGGTATAATGTCGTTACGCAATCCCGCTAGCTTATCCTTTTCTACATTTTTAAAATGGCATTATTTAACCTTCCCAAAACAATTCTGTGCTAATCCACTTAATTTTTTTTTGATAATTTTCGTTTTTTCCCTATATCCCTATCACCTCCCAACGGTTTACTGCCTCATCGTGGCTGGTAGGTGTTCCTGAGTGTCCGACTGCAATGTACAGCGGAGGATTCACCCCTCCGGCAAGGCCTCCCAGGCTGAGGAGTCTGGCGTTTCCATCAGGAAGCTCCGCTAAGAGTAAAGCAATACCAGGATCGACCACCGTCCTGGTATCAAACTTGTTGCATGGTGGCAAACCTTCCACTGATCCACAAGGGCGGTGACTGCCTGTAATGGTGACGACCC